CAGTGATAATAGTAAATAGTGATAAGATAATAAATGGTGATTACTATCGTTATTAATAAAATAATAATTATTAATAACTTCAATATGAAATTGTTGAAATTGACAATCGGACTTCCTGATTATCTGAGTTCTTAGAAAGGCAGGAGGAATATGGCACGAAAGAAAGAAAGCCCACAAGGGTTTCATGGAGAATTTTTGCGAGTCAGTTCTTTAAAAGATGTTTTCCCATGTAAAATTCGTAATTGAAGCGATTTTGAAAATTGTTTTTAAAAACTATCAAAATTTCGAAAACTAAAGCATTTTACCAATAGATGGCGGGGGGGAGGTGGGGGGGGGGAGGAGAAATCCATGTGAAATCACAGTGGAGGATGATATTATTTAGGTAAGTTGGAAAATGACAAGGAATGAAAATTTCCAACTAAAATATGAAAGTATAAATTGAAGGAATACTTAGATGAAGCGATAATTTTTCATAAATAAAACTATCCTCAATTTTTTTCTTAATTCTTAAATTAGGATTGAATAATGCTAGAATATATTGCTTTTTCCAAGAATCTTTTTTAACACTTTCGAGAATTCTCTTTAAAATTTCACCCAAAAATATTCTTGAAACTTTTAAGAGATTAACCAAACTTAATCATTTTCTAATCTCTTATATCACAAGAGAGGATAGTTATAAGATTGAAAATATACACTAATAATATTATTGCTCAATGTAATATCGTAATGCAATGAAATCTTCAATAATAGATATTGTATTGATTTTTTTTTCTCTTTTTTTTTTGCCTCAAAAAAAATTATTTTAGTTAGAAGCTCTAAAATGTTTAAACAAACATACTAATTTCATTTTTTCTGATTCCCAAAAAACATAATTTTGCTTAATTTGGAAAAGGTTAAGATTTAAAAGATCAAAACTAAGAGAAAAAAAAAGAAAAAAGAAAAAACAAATTTTCAATAATTCATTCGTGGTGATATTTTAAAATAAATATAATTTATGCTCATTGTTCTTTTATGCATGAATTTTTGTCAAATTTAATCAAAATAATTGAAAATTTTTTTGTGTGAAATAGAAAAAAAAAAAGAAAAAGAAAAAAGATTAATGCGTGATGAAATAACGAAACAAATATCATTACATAACGATATTTTGTTCATTGTTAACATGTATAATTTCAGGTATTATATTTGCATCCGAATCATTCAATTCATTTATGGTACTCTCTATTGAGGTACTTAAAGTCACACCTTCACCAGAATTTCGATAGAGACAATAATGTTGCACCATAAAGATTACATCGAATGACATTGATACCATTCCTAGACCAAATTTCACTGGATTGCCATAAAATATTGACCAATCGTCTAGAATTTCAAAATTTTTGTTTTCTTTTTTTTTTTTTTAACGAGATACATTTAGCTTTATAAAATGACACTTTTATAAGACAATTTATTGTATAAATTAATTAAATAGATTAATTACCGGGTAAGTTTTCGTTGTTTTTTTTTTTTTTATAGCTGAGATGATAATTTTTTCGACTATTGTTCCAAATATGGTAGATGAATAGTGGTAAATTAATGTATAGCAAGTTTCAAACTATTTCTTGCCTTTGGAATATATAAGTTTTTTTCTTCATGCATCTCGAAATGATAAATTATCACGCTTAATATACTTTAGATATGCTAAAATAAATCAATATCAATCGATATGATTGACATTTGATTTTCTTAAAATAAAACGGTTGCTTACAAAAGTAATGTATTTTTAAAACGATATTAAAATTTTGGCAAAATGAAATCTCAAAAAAGGGAAGCAAATAAAAAAAATGTAATAATAATTATAATAATAATAATAATAATAATAATAATAATAATAATAATAATAATAATAATAATAATAATAATAATAATAATAATAATAATAATAATAATAATAATAA